GAATTTTCTAGGGAAAAGTGGGACTTGAGAAGCCATCTAATAACCCTCAAAAGAAGCGTGGCTGGAGTTGAAACACACTTCTTACTTACTTCTATGGTAAGGTACTGGAAATGGGGGAGTCAGAATTTGACAGGTTACAGTTGTAGATCTTAGAGTCGTGAGGCATGAATGAGATAAATGTGGAACACTGGTGGATTATAAAAATATGACAGAAATGTAAGAAGTTTGGGGGGATGTTCTGCCCCCCGCCCCGCTTCCTTGTAATGCAAGGCCTATCTGAAAACTGAAACATGGCTCCCAGTACCCCTCACTAGAACCCCTCAGCACCCCCAGAAGGATCATCATCTGTTACAAATACTTGCGGTGTATATTCCTGAATGTTATTCCCAGAAAACTGAACCTGTGGAAACTTTCATAATTGAGTCATTGACCTTCACAGCTTTTTCAAAAGAGAAAGGCCAGTGAATCACAATTATACTACAACTCTAGGCCATCTGAATTTCTTCAAATCTGATGGCTTAAGAACTGTTTAATTCTTGGCTGTCTCTGATAAACTCAAAATAAAAAAATCTGTGTGGGTTTTCTTTTTAGCTCTGATTTATCTCAATTTTCAATTTATATTGGCTTTCTGGATATATCATTTAGATAACCCACCATCTTATCTACCATGTCCAAAAGCAATAGTCACTCTAGATCCCTCAGTCTTACCAAAAAAAAAAAAATCTACCAGTCTCTTTCCCAAGTTTCTCATTCTGGTTCCTTGAACCGTGGTTCTCCCAAATAAGAAAACCTGAGTAACATAAATAGACAAAGACCTTAGATATCTATTAGCCCTACCCCTGCCCTTTACAGACAGAAGGATATGTAACTTGCCCAGCGCACCACCACTATTAGGACTAGAATTCATGGCTTCAATCTAAGTAAACAAATAACAACAACAACGAAGATTGAAAGTAAACTCAGGGTCAGATATCCTGGGTTATTCTGATTCTAATATTCTTCATACTGGGGTTCTTTCATCTGGACGATGTAGAAAATGGTGGCATCTTATAGGATGCGTTAAATGAGGTAATATACCACAGTGAATGGGACATAACAGATGTAAGAAATGTTTGTTGAATCAATCACTCCTTGAATGGACTATTTCTAATAGAGTTAGTTCTCTCTTACCTTTCCTTCCACGACTCATCTCTTCCTACTGTCTCTAACCTAAGGCCCTAACCAGTCCGCCAGAGCAAACCATAACTGATCTCGCTTCCCCTTTCCAGCCCAAATCTATCCGCACACTGCTGCATTGCCAATCTTCTGAAAATTCTCTCCCCCATTAAAAAAAATAAATAAAATAAATAGTACTGCCTACTGGCAAATCATTCTTAATCCTATGTTCATTTTAACTACCTCAGGGCGACCCCAAGAGCCTTTTCAAACCATCCTCCACATGGTTCCAGTGTGCACACTTCGCTCTCACCAGGCTGGCTTCCCGGGCCCACTCTCTCTCAGCCCTGAGTTCAAGCTGTGTCATCCCGCCTCTTCCCCGAAGCCTACTCTGGCAAATTCAGATGGACATTCTTCCCAGAGTCAAAGGCATTGATTACATCCTATCTTGTATTGTTCTTGAATTGTTTCACTCACAAATGTGCGAACTCTGCTTCTCTGAACAGATTATAACTCATTGACCAATTTTTCATAAGTCTACTCAACATCCCTTCACAGTGCCTAAAATGTATTGTAGTAAACTTAAAAACTGTAAAGAATTCTAAGTAATCTCAATTCTTATAAAAGCAGGTTATAGAAGATTTTCCCTATAATGCCAATTCATATGCTTAATCATTTTCCCTGAAACTATATCCTGGATATGACAGAAATGTATAGGCTGAGAAAATTAGCACTTGAACAAAACTTTTTTATACTATGAAACAGCATTATTTCTGGAAAATAATCTATCACATGTAGTATCTTTTGGGCAAATTTCATTTGTCAAAATATATCAGTGATTCCTTACATTAAAAAAAAAAAGTTATATCTACATTGTGAAATATCTTCTTGATTTGTGGAGATTGAGCAGGGAATGTGCTGGTTAAAGGTTAAAGGCAAATGTTTCTAAGGCTGCTTTCATCCAACTCCAAAGTTGTAAATGAGAAACTCTGTTCCTCAGTCCTCATTTTTCACAACAGTTGATAGTTCCTTTCTATGTACTATTTTTAAGAGAGCTACAGTATTAGCCACACTCTACCTGTCTGGGGAACGCCTGGTTTACAAAAGCACAAAATGTACTCATAGCTGCTCTCAACAACACCCTAAGGTTAGTCCTGCTTCTGGAATCTTGGCTATCATGTCAAATAACTAAACTATTTGGTGACTGTGGGTCATAAAAAAGTAAAATACTAATAAAACTAAAATGTCAAACAGATTGCATTGCTGAGTCAGCTGGCTAATTCCAAAAAATGGCAAATAAATATAAACAGGGCTAAGAGTCATAGACACGATGCCATCACTTTCCACAGTATTCTCACTCAACTTCACATCTTGTATTGCGTTTTATAAAGTTTCTGGGTAAAAAAATAAAGTGAAAGAGCTCTTGTTTGTACCGCAGATGACCTATATTTAAGTATTTATGTGGTGGGGACTTGTAGCAGTTGAGATGTTTTCTTATTGTCTCCTCTGCTAAGTTTTCCAGCAGTAATTATTGAATATTATTATAATCCTGACAGTCTTCCAAGAGAAGATATACTCAGGGTCCTTTCAAGGAGGGGGGTTGGAAATTAGATTGGTATCCTATGCCCCAACTCAACGAAAGCTAACAGGGAATCTATGTTTTACCCATAGGTAAGGAAAAAAGTGTAGAAAATGATCTCTCCCTTTAACATTAATACACTGAATATTCAACTCACTAAGCTTTAGTGTTTTCATTCTTATAATCCCCTTACCTATTAAGAAAACAGTTTTGCCAGTTTCTTTCCTTTGAAATAATTCCAGTTTTTCACTGGAGAGCTTTCTGAAGAGATCTGGAGATTTAATTTCAACAGTGCACAAAACAGAAGATAGAACCACTTGCTGCAGTTTAAAAAGTACCGATTTTGCAGATCTAGAATTTCTCCTCTTCGATATAATCACTTTAAAAAATCTTGTTTAATGTTTTTATGAGAACCGAATTAATAAAACGTCTGATAAAGTGCTGCAAACCAATAGATATCTGAATGCAGATATTAATTGAAATTAAATAAGACCATTTCCACATACAGTCTGTCCTAGGTTACAGCTCTCAGAATTGATATGAGTTCTTAAGGCTGCTGAGCTCATGGTATTAGACCAAAGTTTTGAAATAAAAAACACACTACTGCATGTAGTATCTCTTCTACTTCAAAAAAAACCAACTGGAAGTTCAATTAATTGTATGGCTAAGCATTTTATTCATATGACTTAACTGCATTTTTTCCAGACATAAAGAGTGTGGTAGAGCAAACTCAAGAAAGTGGGACTCAAATGGCAGCTGTGAAAAATTCAGATACTTTGTTGTCTTTAAAGTTATGTTATTTATCATAGCTAATTAACAAAAAGTTAACATAAAGTATTCATTATTTAGAATTCCTTTTCCCCTCTGTTTGGTCACCTACACACTCCATTCCTCAACCACAGAAGTAAATATGTCTAAAATTGGTGCTGGTTTTGATAAGCCAAGGTGATGACATCAGCCTGAGTTCTGGCTCCTGGAACGCAGAACTATGACCATGCAGTGACTTGTGGGCAGTTAGGTCCCAACATCACTCTCTTTGCACCACACATCCTCACTGATTTGGAGCCAAGTCTTGTGCTCTAAATATACCACACCAGTTAAACACCAGTGTTCTGGAATATCTGCTTTGTCCAATGAAGGGGAGGGTGGGAAGGGAAAAGGAGCCATGCTTCTATTTTTAAACACGAGATTTAAAACTGTAAGTGGTGCACAACAGTGTCAATGTATTTAACATCACTGAACTGCACACTTAAAACGCTTAAAATGGTAAATTTTATGTTATGTATATTTCAGAAGTTTTTCACAGCTGTCTAATAAATGTCCGGGTCCAATATAAAAATCTGTTATAACTCTGTCAGGTCACTCTTTCTGCACTATAACTCCTATTAAGCCAGTCTGCTTGGGGCCTAAATAAGCCTCCATTCATCAGGAATTAGTAAACAGCACTTACCCACATAAATCTCCAGCTAAAAGTAACACAGAGGAAAGCATGATGTAAGAGTGGGTGTTAGACAAGGAGCCTGTGGAAACGTCACTTGCTCACAGACTGTGCGCCCCTGTGAGGAGCTGGGGAGCAGAGCAGCCCCTGCCTCCTACCCGGGATTGTCCCTGTCCCCCAGTCCTGAATAGCTGCCACAAGGGCAAGAAAAGCCTGGCCAGCAGGAGTTCCAAGGCCTCGGGGCCACTGAGCCAGTAGGAGCGCTTCCCAGCGCGTCCAGCCCCGTTGCAACCCGCCGGGCGCTGCAGCCGCAGAAGCGCCTTCCCCTGCGGCCTCCGCTCCAGAGCGACCTGGGCTGGAGCGGCTGCGACAGGGCTGTGCCTGCCTGAGGTCGCAGGCAGGGGACTTTGCAGACTGACAATCGCCTCAGCTACGAGAGGGATTTGAAATAAGGGAAAACCCCCGAGCTACAGGCTCCAGTTGTGATGCCATTGTGCTTGCAGCGCACCCAGGAGAAGCCCCTATCTGTGCGCACGGACGGGCATCGCGCCTGGGCTTCCTCCCCGCGCTCTCGGTTAGGATGTGAGCGCCCTCGCGGGCCCACGCGTGTCTCACCAGACCCGAACGCGGTGCCCGGTACTTGGAGGCGCTCAGCAAGTAAGTGAGGGACTCAATTCCGAAGCTGCAGCCAAGGCAGCGCGGGCAGAAAGAAAGGTCTCCCCCGTGCTCTGAGGCTGCAAACTCACCTGGGCAGGTGCTGTCACCGGGAGAAGCCTCCCTGTCCGCAGGCGCCCCACCCAGCCCTCTGCACGCCCTGTAACTACCTACCAGCAGCGGCGACCAGCAGGCGGACAGCACGCACATGATCCCCATGAGCTGGATGGCGGTCTCGGTCGTGATCCGGCCCCACTGGGTGCTGGACTGCGTGGCCTTGGCCCGGCAGCGGGATACCAGGGCCTTAATGGTGGCCAGGTTGCAGGCGATGGTGATGGTCAGAGCCGAGAGCCCCAGGAAGGCAAAGGTGGAGGCGAAGAAAAGGTTGCCCCAGTTGTGCGGGGAGCCAGTCCCGTTGCCGCCTCCGCCGGTGCTGATGAAGCACCACGTCCCGGGCCACTGGATGGTGTACTGGCCCACGCCCATCACCGGCAGCAGGGCGAAGGCGAGCACCGCCAGCCACACGCCCAGCAGCACGGAGCGCGTGGCGCGCGTCTTCATGTGGCTCGCGTACCAGTGCGGCGCCCGGATGGCCAGCGCGCGCTCGACGGCCATGGCGCTGGCGACGAAGAGAGAGGAGAGCCCGAAGACGGTCATGGTCAGACCAAAGAAAGTGCACAGCCTCCCCGACGGGTCGAGGTGCTCCCAGCGCTGCTTGGACAGGTACACCACGATGACCACGGGGCTGGTGAGCAGCTGGCCCACCATGTCGGTGAGCGCCAGCCAGCCGATGCACAGCAGGAACGACTTCTTGCGCTTGCTCTCCCGGCGCCGGTAGCTCCGGGACACCAGCAGCATGGCCAGCGCGTTGCCCACGAAGCCGGTGATCAGCATGGTGATCGGGAACACCACGGACACCGAGCGGCAATCGTCGCCCGTCTCCGGAGGGCGCGTGAGGTTGCCCCGCGCCTCGCTGGAGCGCTCGGGCGCCCACATGCCGGGGTAGGAGTGGTTGAGACGGGTGCAGAAAGGGGCGCTCCCGTCGCCCCGGGTCTCCTTCATGTTGGCTTGGAGGTGAGGATAGGGCAGCGCCTGGAGAGCAGCAGCACTTGCTGGCAGTCGGGGCGCGGGAGGCGGCGGCGGTCAGTAGCGCCCCGGGTTGGTGCCGGGGTGGGGCTGCCTTCCATGGTGCGGGCGCAGCCGCCGCCTCGCTGGGCTACCTCGGCCGCGCGGGGCC